CCATCAGCGATGTCAGTCTGTCGTTAAATTAATGCGAGTTTGCTTTGCACAATTGCAGTACAGAAATTGTCTCCACAAAGCCTAGCCTTTGACTTTATCAGCGTAGATGACATACGAGCTTACAGTCTATCAGAATAAAGCACACACAAACATATGAATGTCGATCTTAATACGCCCTTTCGCGAGCAAATTGACTGTGTCATATTCTTATTCCCAGGAACTAAGCGAACCCAAAGCCAATCCCCGAGGGGTGTTGTATGAAAGAAATGTAGACAGCAACGTTTTATTTTTCACAAACGAAGAACGCACGCTTCTATTTTGTTGGAACGCGGACACACCCATGGTAGAAGAGAATGTAGCATTGCTCACCGACATATCGTCGAACAACGATTTTTATATATCCGGTACTAAAAATTCAATTTGCTATCCTTAGAAATAAAAATATAACGGAAGTCTTGGTTAATTCATTGACCGTTGAGAACTTTTTTTTCGAAAAAAGACATGACAATGTGTTCGGCAAAAATCTTAAAGAGTTAGTTCCCGAGACTGATGGTATGTGCTACAAATGGTGCCTCAATATGTACTACGTTGAGCACAGCGATTCCAGATATACGGAATGAACTCTTGTCGGGTATTTCTTTTTATTATTACTTAGATAGGTGAACGAGTTCCCAGCCCACCTGATTTTAAGTGGTTACTGGAGCCCATAGACATCTACAACGTAAATGCGCCACCCACCTTGAGATATAAGTTCTAAGATCACAGTATAGTTACAACGGCTGCGCCACCCTTCAAACCGAAACGCATTACTNTTCACGGCAGAAATAGGCAGGGCGGTGGTATCTACCCGTGCGGACTCACAAGAGCTCCTATCACCAGTATAAGGATAGGTAGGGTAGAGTAGGTGGTAGTGTGGTGATAAAATGGAGAGTTTGGTAATTCAGGCCTATTTAAGCAACTATTAATTTCCTGTCATATGTTGTCAATGTAGTTCAGATACTGATTTCAGCTAATGATTTAATTTACTCGTATTTATTGATGTCACTTTGCTTCAGAAATTCGATTGGTTCGTCGACCATATTTTATTCATTTTGCCTGTAAGACTGAAACAATATATTTTTTTAGGAATGGAAACTTCCGGATATGTCTTTAAATTCCTGGTCAATAGGATACGGAATATCGATAATAATATTTATAATGAACAAGAAATCAATTTCGCTAATTATGAGTAAGTAATGAGGCGTTAGCAAAATATGGTAGTACATTTATGTTTTCAGTTTGATTGTTTACGACATTGAATCTTGTCTGAGTACATTAATCATATCAAGCAAAAACATTATTGAAAATAGACATAAAAAAAAGTGCGTGCGTACAAAGTACACATGTCAGAAGTGAAACTTTTTTGGCGAACTAATTTATAAATCTTGCTTATATTTATACAAATCTAAAACTTTAGAATTCCGAGACTTAGATGAAGGGAAAAAGGAAGATATGTTCCCGCCAAAAGTCTGTCAAATGTCAATCTCAAACCTCAGTGTTGACAGTCACATAGCTTACATAGATTTCTAAATTGTAAATGACTAATATTTTGCCAATTGAATTGACTAATTTAAATTCATGCGATTTGATTAATGTTCCAAATTCTTTTCATTTCATTTCAATTCCTATTAACATTTTTCACAAAAAATTATAAAATATTAGGCTGTATGGTATGATACATATGCCTTTCCAGTTGGAAAAATACAACAACTTCTACTACTGACATTTGACAAGTACTTAATTTCAATAGTAGTTTGATGTCACTTCCGTTGCATACCTGCGTGACGTTCTGTAAAAATTTTACCCCCATGCGCCTAAAGAAGTTTCACTTCAAAATCGGTTGTCTGTAAAGTCGGCTTACTGACGATAGTTGAACGTGACAACATCATAAGAAAATACTGATGGAATGGTTTCATTTTTCAAAATAAATTTTTAAATTTATTTGTTTGATAGATATTTATATATATATATATATATATATATATATTTTATATATACCTAGTCAGGTCATAAGTATTGTCACACAGTAAAAACTTTTCTTTTAGAATGCTGGCCACAAAAAAGTTTATTGAATTCGAATTTCCAATTGTTCATGAAAATAAAAATGTATACTTTTTAGAATTTTACTCATTTTTAAATATGGAGTGGACGCTTAAAGAAGACCGTGTTACAGTTATTGCGTTGCATCGTTGCGGTTACGCGCCAATTCAAATTTTTTACATACTGAAAAATTTGAATATAACCAAAAGATTCGTTTATCGTACCATCAAACGATACAATGAAGACTCTAGTGTAGATGACAGGTCAAGAAGTGGTCGCCCTCGGTCTGTTAGGACTCCAGCAGTGATAAAAGCTGTGAAGGCGCGAATTTAAAGAAATCCCAAACGTAAGCAGAAACTGTTGGCCCTTCAGATGGG